GGAGGAGGCGGCGAGCGAGGCGCGGAGCCGCTGCAGCAGCGCCAGCGATGGCGCCAGCCTCGCCGAGGAGGCCGCAGGGAGCGAGGCCGCGCACGAGGAGGAGGAGGAGGAGGAGGCGGCCGAGGAGAGGCTGAAGGAGAGCGTGGACGGCGTCCTGGACAGGAGGTGAGGCGCCCGCTGCGGGAGCGCGCGGCGGTGCCCGCGCCGCTCACCCGTGCCCTTGCAGCGCCAGGACGCGCCAGGCCGCCCTGCAGAGCCTGCGCGAGGCCTTCGCCGGCCGCAGCCTCTGCGAGTTCCTGCTCGAGCGCCGCCTCACGCTCGCCGACTCGCTGGAGCGCTGCCTCAGGAAGGGTGAGCGCGCCGGGAGCGCCGCGGGAAGCGGSGGCGGCGGCGCGGCCGGCGCTCAGCGCCCCTCTTGTGCTGCCCGCAGGTAAAGGGGAGGAGCAGGCGCTGGCGGGCGCCGTCCTCACCCTCCTCTGCCTCCAGATGGGCTCGGGCGTCGAGGCCGAGCAGCTCTTCCGCAGCCTGAGGCCGCTGCTCGTCAGCATCCTGACAGACGGCGCTGCCAGCCCCGTGGCCCGGCAGAGYGTAAGGGCCGGTCCCCCTCGCGTGGCGGGTCCCGTGAGGGCTGTGCGGCAGGGCGGGAGCCCCAGCTGCTGCCCACGGCAGAGAGCTGTGGGTAGAGCCCCAGGGCCTGCGGGCAGGCGCCGCAGAGCCGCCCTTCGCCGGACGTTGGGGGAGAGCAGCGCTGCCTGTGGACGGCGCTGCAGCCGGGTGCTGCCTCCCGACCCTTTCCCCGCATCTCTCCGCAGTGCGCCGCAGCCCTGGGCATGTGCTGCTATGTCGCCGCTGCTGATCCAGAGGTAACCGCTGTGACCGTGGCCCGCCCTGTGGCAGGGAGCACCCAGGGATGACCGTGGTGTCTGTGCAGCCCCTGGTGCCACCTGGTCGCCCCTTTGGTGGAGCTCGGTGGGCAGAGGCACCGGTGAGACTGGCCCTGCAGGGCTGCTGCAGACGCCACTGTGCCCCTTCTCTGGGCAGCGTGGCACTTAGCAGGGCCACAAGGCTCCTATACGGAGATGTGGCAGCCTAAACCAGGGAAGCCATTCCTTCCTCCGGGGCTCCTTGTGGCAGCGTGGAGTCTAGGACCTTCTGTGTCATCCGCTCGTCACRTCTTCCACATGCAGCATGTGAATTTGCCTTTACATCTTTCTAACCCATGCTGTGATGGGGGTTTGTTTGCTTTTGCAGGACCTGGTGTCGTGTCTGGCCTGCCTCGAGGGCATCTTCACCGGCCCTGGCGTGGGCGATGGCAGCTCCATGTCCACACAGCACACTGCTCTGCACTGCAGCGCCCTCCAGTCCTGGTCCCTGCTCCTCACCATCTGCCCCGCCTCCCACGTAAAACGCATTTTGGACAAGTGAGTGAGCCTGGCACTGCTGGGCACAGTGAGGCTGTATGGGGCCCGGTGCGTGTGCAGCATCGGGCTGGGCACCTCTGCTGCGGGGACACAAGAGATGAGGAGGGGCCTCAGGCAGCTGCGGGCCTGGCTGCTTGTGGGACCTCAYGCCCCTTGTGCCTTCCTGCCGCAGTCACTGGCTCAAGCTGCCCTTGCTGCTGTCCAGCAACAGCATGGCACTGCGCATCGTGGCTGGAGAAACCATCGCCCTGCTCTTTGAGCTGTCCCAGGACATGGAGGTAGGGTTGGGCACTGCTGCTTGGGAGGTGGGTACATGGTGGATGGTGAGGCAAGCTGCAAGGGAGCTCCAAGAGCTGGCGTCTCGTGGGGTCTTGCTGGCTGCCTGTGCTGCTGGCCGAGCTGGCACTCGGGTGGAATGAGAAGCTGTAGCTGACTGGGTATGGAGATGCTCCAGGCTGGAGCCCTCAGCTCATGCTTAAGAGGAGGGGTTGGCCCAGGTTATCTCACAATCCCATCCTGGGGATGGCGGCTGTTGGCCATGCTAAGAGCCTTCTCCACTCCAGACCATTCTTGCCTGGCAGGAGGACTTAGGCCACCAAGACACTGAGTTCCTGTGTGCCCAGCTCAAAGTCCTGGCCACCGAGAGCAACAAGTATCGGGCCAAGATGGACCGACGGAAGCAGCGCTCCATTTTCCGGGACATYCTGCGCTTCATTGAGGTACCCGTGCCCACGAAGGCCGTGCTCTTGGGCCCTGGGAGAGACAGGACAGGCACTGTGCCCTGCCCTGCAGAGCCTGCCACAGTGTGGGCTGGTGCCCATGTGCCTCTTGTTGCCCCTCTCTGCACCCAGAGTGGGGAGTACCAGGAAGAGACCATCCGCTTTGGCCTGGAGTGTGTGTACGTGGACAGCTGGGCACGTCGGCGAACGTACCAAGCCTTCAAAGAGGTGCTGGGCTCCGGCATCCGCCACCACCTCCAGGTAGGTTCCGGGTGTCAGGGCTGAGTGGGTGGCAAGAGGCTGACAGCAGGGGCTGACAGACCCCTTGGCCTCCCAGAACAATGAGCTGCTCCGGGAGATCTTTGGCCTCGGACCCCCGTTGGTGCTGGATGCGGCTACTCTGAAGGCCAGCAAGGTCTCCCGCTTTGAGAAGGTGGGTGCCCGCCAGGCTGGGTGCTAGGGGGCAGGGGACGGGGCCCCGGGGTGAGCTTTGCCTGGAGAGGGCAGTGCTGGGCTCTGCCTTTTCACCTCCTGGAGCAGGGGTGGGAAGGCCCCATGACCCTGCCCGCTTCTGGAGGGCCTGACTCATCCTCAACAGGAGAGCCTGGTGGTGCTACCCTTGCCCAGCAGTGCCCACCCCAGCGGAGGGCTCTGGCCTGGCACCTGCTCGTGGCTGTCCCGCAAGCTGGGGTTGGCCATGCGGGGTTGGGGGTCGCTCCCTAACCCGTCTCTTCTTCCTTCCCCCGCCCAGCACCTCTACAATTCAGCTGCCTTCAAAGCCCGCACGAAGGCCCGGAGCCGGGTACGGGACAAGCGGGCAGATGTGCTGTGACGGGCAGAGCGGGGCGCTGCCCCCTGGCCGCTGTGGACTGAAGACCTACTACTGTGAGGGGCATGTGCCCCTGGCCCTTGGGCTTTTACACATGTACAGCAGAGTATTTAATGCCTGGTGCTGCCCCACTGGGGGTTGCCCCCTCTTTTATTTTTTTAACCAAAAAGAAGGAAGGAAGGGAGGGAGGGAGGGTGCAGGAGTGGGGAGGGAGGGGAATGCTGCTGTGTTTCTGCTCTGTGCCAAGGAGGATCACTGCTCCATGGGGCACAATGAGAGAGGATGTCCCACAGATCCTTCCATTTTTGGGACGGTAGTTCCCTCGCTTGTGCCTSCCCTCCCTCCCACCCTTGAGTTTGCCCATCTAGGCCAGGAGAGCCCTGCCTGGAGCTTCCCTGGGGGAGGACAGAGCTCGGTTTCCCCGTGTTGGCAGCGGGGAGGGTTCCCCGGGCGGCCCCAGTGAGGGCTGTGTCGCCCGTGGGGCTGGCCCAGATCTGTGTGTCCCCACCCCAAGTGCCCCCTGCGCCACCACAGTGGATGCAGCCTGAGCGGCCGGTGACAACCGCAGCACCCACGCGTGAGGGCTGAGGGCCGTGGGCTCCCTGGGCGCTGTCCGGCCCTGCCAAATGACCGTGCGGATCCTGGCTCTAGCCCAGCGCTTTTGCAGCCCCTTGTGTGGGCAGCAAATTCCATATGGGTCAGTGGGCACCTCCCTGTGTYGCCTCTGCCTCCCTGGGGTGCCAGACTGGGCAGGGCTTCCTGGGGCGCCTCTGTTGCCTACACTGGGCAGGGGCTTCTGCCTCAAAGCACTGAGGGCTGCAGAGGGCAGCAGTGCGGCCATGCAAGCTGGAAGTGAATCCCTTCCCTCTTCCCCTCCCAAATATATTTATCTTGGTGACTTGATAAGACTTGATTGCTGCAGGTAATTAAAAGGCTGATTGCAGGGTGCCTGCTGCTTTATTTTAAAGAGGAAAAGCTGTCGCCCAGGGCTAGTGCTCGTGCGCCTCTCCCTCCAGACTGTGCCAGCCCCTTTGCCCCTCCGGGGTTTTTGCCTCTCTGTGCAAGTGCCTTCCCTCGCTTTGGCATCGTGTGCCTCTGTTGGGAGGGATGCTGCAGATTTGGGCAATAACTAGTGTGTGTGTGTAGGGGGGGGGGAGGCCAGTGGGGCAGGGCTGCCCACTCCCTTCCCCTGCAGTCTGGTGCCTGTTGCCACATGGGGGCCCAGCCCCGGCTCAGCGCTGCCCGCCGGCCTCCTCGCTGGCGTTGAGGCGAGCCCAGAGCTGCCCGCTGGCCGCCCGCAGCTGCTGCACGGCCTCCTCCTGGCTCTCCAGCCACTGGAGCAGCACCCGCACCGACTGGCTCTGCAGCACTGCGAGGAGACGGGGACAGCCTGCGGGTGGTGCTGAGCAGCGGGCCAGCCGCCCAGGGCTCCCCACAGCTGGTGCCCCCGGGGGGGCTGTGCCTGGCTCCGCTCCCTGCCCTAGGGCGGGCGCAGTAACAAGCACCCTGCTGTCCCTGGGCCGAGCCCCACGTACCGCTCAGGTAGATGGCCAGCGTGGCGAGGACCAGGCTGGCCAGCGCCAGGACRCCCAGCAGAGCGAGGAAGAGCGGGTGGCAGGGCCCGAGGCAGGGGCAGGCGCTGGCGGCAGGGACGGGGCGCAGCGAGGGCAGCGGGGGCTGGCGGGGGGCGCCGCCGGGCACCGTGTGCGTGCGGGGCCTGAGCAGGGTGCTGGACTGAGCCGGGCCGTTCCCTGYGGCAGCAAGAGGAGAGTGGGTCAGTAGCCGCCACCCGGCACCCCCAGGGGCGTCCCATCAGCAGGGGGTACCCCCAGCCAGGCYGGGCAGTGCAGCAGGGGCTGGCGCCCAGCCCGCTGGTCTCACCCTCGGCACCCTTGTGCCCGCCCGAGGCCCAGTGCAGGTCGCTGATGGACTCCACGGGGTGCAGGCTGATGTCTCCAGGCTCACTGCCGTTGGGGTCAGTGGGCTCTGCCGGGGCGGTGCCATCTGTCCTCCCCACGCTGTCTGCCAGGGAGCAGTGGCGGGGATGAGCACAGGTACCTCCTGCTGCACGCAGCCGCCCCAGGCTCCGACYGTGGGCACTGTCCCATCCCCGCTGCTCCAGCCCCCTGCGTGAGCGGCGCCAGCTGTGGTGCCATCCYGGCTGCTGGCGGCGTGCGCGGTGCCGGGAGGGCGGCGGGGGCCACCGCGTCGCTGCCACACGGACCGTGTGCTGACTCGGCAGCCCAGCCGGGACGAGCTGTCAGCAGCACCCTTAGCAGGCGGCCGTGATGCCAGAGCCTCGTTAGCAGGGCTGGAACGTGCCCTTGGCTCCAAGGCAACACTGAGCCACGTCTCCTGGCCCTGCTAGCCGGGCACTGCAGGGTGGCACTGGGGCATTTCCAAGCCACCCCGCGGCCCGTGGGCACAGGCAGGCTGGCGCCAGGCTTAGTCTGGGACATAGTTTGGCAGCTTTGCTTTTTGCACAGAGTCTGAGGGAGGAGGGTTCATGTGATGCTTAGGTAACGTACAGCTATAATATGAGCCAGGATATGCCAGGCTGGGGAGGGTAATTGCTAAACACCGGGCACGTCATCCCACAAAAGGGCAAGGGGAGGGTCCTTGGGAGCAGGTTTGACTCCAGCCTGGTTGGCATCGTGTTGGGAAGTGGCTGCGAAGTTGAGGGAAAGGATTTCTCCTGGATGTTTGTTTGGGTTTTATCAGCTGGTGCAGTTGTGCCTCCCAAAGAGCAGGGTGTGGTGGCCCTGTGTCTGCGTCAGACTCGTCCAAGGCCTYGGTGGGTTGAGGCTGGTGACCGCTGGCAGAGGCACCCCTGCTTGTCATATGTGGGGTTGGCCTGTGCCTCGGGATTGGGGCTAGTTCTTTGCTGGAGGAGGCGGCAGCTCGTGCCCAAGTCTCCTCCCCGCCTGCTGGCACAGACTGTCCCGCAGCAACCTGCAGGCACAGCAGTGCCCTGACTTCACCAGGCACCGTTGCGCGGTGTCTGATCCTTGCTGCCACCATGGCACAAATTGGGTGCCAGGTTTGGTGCCCTTAGGGGCTACACCAGCCAGTCCCTTTGCCACCCCCACCAAAAAATCCTCCTGCTGCCACCCTGCCCTGCTGCRCCTGCAGCAGCACATCCCCGGCACGGGCACCTCTGCACACAGCCCCSTTGGTGCAGGCACTGCCCCCATCCCCACCCTTCCTCTCACATCCCACCCAGTCCCCAGAGGGTGCCAGGGTCCCCCCCACCAGTCCCAGCCTACCTTCTGCAGCCTCCCTGGGCATCGCTCCCTGTGCCGCAGACCCGGGCGCAGCCCGGCCCGGGCGGTGCGAGTGGGCAGCAGGGCAGTGCGGGACCCCTGGGAGCTGGGCACCGGGTTCCCAGGGCGCCAACTGTGCTGCTTAAAATAGAACAGTGAGAAATGTGGTTGGGGGGGATAAATATAGCCCCAGAGACGGGGGCCCGGTGGCTGTATCAGTGTCACGAGCAGTGCTGTGCCAGCACGGCCAAGGACGAGGAGCCTCGTGCCTCCTTCCCAGAGTAAGAGGGGCACAAGAGCATCATGAGGCCACGGGGACCCAAGCGATGTCCTGCATGGGGAAGCTCAGGTGGGCCAGCCCTAAGCCACGGTGGGTCACCCCGCGCCCCACAGTGTGGCAGCTGTGCCCAGCCTTGCCCACAGCGACGACGCCGACTGTGCCACACCACATTTATTTAAATTAACAAGGAGGCAAGAAGCACCCACCACCCGGCAGCACCAGGGCATGGGGCTGCGTGCGCTGGCAGAGGGGACCGCAGCGGTCCCCAGCCGTGGTCACCGGCCCCAAGTGCCCCGTGGGGGGCAGGAGTGGGACGATGGGAGGCTGTTGTGCCCRTAGAAGCTGTGGGCTTGGGCAGGCGCCACACAGGAGGTGCTGGGGCCGGACTCGGCCCGCTCGCTGCAGCCCTCGCCGCTCCAGCCACGGTAGCAGTGGCAGCGGAAAGGTGCCCACAGCTCCTCATCCAGCTGGTTGGAGAGGTGCAGGAAGGCGGCCGGGTTGCGGGGCTGTCGGCGCACACAGCGTCCGTGCCCGTGGCACCGTCGGTAGCTGCACTCCCAGGTGGCTGCCGTCACGTTGGCCACGTAAGGCCCCAGGGTGGCCAGGAGGTAGTGGCGCAGGCTGGCGCAGCTCTCCTGCGAGGGCAACGGCTGCTGGGGGTCCTCCCGCTTGCAGGAGCTGGCCACGCTGCCACCCCTTCACGCACCGCTTCCCGAGGGCCCCAAGCAAGGACGTGGCCACCCCTGCTCCTTCCTGCCTGTCCCCYACCCGAGCCCCCTCCTGCTACCCCGGGTTCTGGCCAGCCCTGGAGCGCAGCGGGGCGGGCGGACGTGCAGCGCGGCCCACGCAGGCACAGGCTGGCGATACTCACAGCCGAGCGCGAGTAGGACAGGTCTCCCCAGAGCACGAGGCCGGCAGCCCCCAGCGCRGCACTCTCCCCAATCGTGCGAACCAGATCAGCCTGCGGAGCACAGATACGGGCAGGGGCGGTGGCTTGGTGCTACCACGGCCACCGCCAGCCTCCCCACGCCCCAGCCCTGCCCTTACCGGCCCGAGGAAGCGGGGCGAGCGGCGGTAKGAGAGGCGCGAGTAGGCAATGACGGGCAGCAGCCCCGCAGGCCCGAAGGCGGCCACGCGCAGCGCCTCGCGCAGCCGGTGGTGCACGAAGCGCTGGCGCAGGCCCTGCGGCAGCGACGGCGGCAGGTAGATGCTGGGGTAGAGGGCGGCCGAGGCGGCCCACAGCCAGCGGAGCTGGTCGTTGCGCAGCACTTCGGCAGGCCGGCACTCGCCCGTGTAGTTGGCCTCCTTGTCCCAGTTGCCATTGAAGCAGTCGGGGAAGCGGTAGAAACCCCAGAGCCCCGCCGGGCGCAGGGTCTTGCCCAGCAGAAGCGTCTGCTCCATGAGCGCCTGRGCCGCCTGCTCAAACTCCTCCTGTGCCAGGCGGCGCCGCCGCGGGGCTGGCAGCGCGGGGTGCCGCTCCCGCACCCACTGCTCTGAGGCCGCCCGGTAGACCCTTTTGGCCCCCCAGTTGCGGGCCCAGAGGGGTCTCCACTCCTCCCAGTCTAGCACAGCCAGACCCTGGAAAGCAGGCCCCAGGCGCAGGAGGATATCGCCGGCTACCCTGCCCAGATGGCTCTGGAGAGGCACCCGCTGGGGGATGCCCCCATTATGGGCGATGCCCTCGGGCGACAGATACGGGTATAACCCAAACTGGTTCTTGTAGAAGATGGTGATGTTCTGGCCCGCGAAGCGGTCRCCCGCGTTCTCTACGATGCCGTAGCTGCCGAGGGGCAGGGCCACGCCAAAGCGGCGCCAGCAGCGCCCCGTGGGCACATTCCACACCACGGCGAAGGGCCGGCCGCCGGCGATGGGTTCGGGCGCCGGGCTCTCTCCGCTCACCACGCGCAGCGTCAGCCAGGCCCACAGCAGCAGCGCAGGCCCCATGCCGGGCCACCCCAGCGGGCCCAGCACCCTGTGGGGAGAAGGAGAGCAATGGGGTGAGATGGGGGCCACCAGATGTACCATGGACGTGTGGTCTTCCAGAGCCATCCCTGTYGGGGGACAACTCTGCTCTCTGTGCTCTGGCACCAAGGCAGCACTGGCAAGTCCCTGCAAGCCAAGTCATTCACCACCCACCCTAATGCCTCAGTTTCCCTCCTGACTCCCTGTCCTGTTACCAGCAGGGACATCAAAACTGGCTCTTCTCTCCTGTCCCCTGCCAGTTGGCAGCGGGCTAAGCTCTCCTCGTGAGCAACGCTCCAAGGCGCTGCCCTGCTGCGGCAGCCCTCCAAAAAGAGGGTCTGAACCAAAGGGGCAATCACCCCTTCTGGGCTCCACAGGACGAGAGGGACGTGGAAGTTCTAGAGAGGGTCCGGCAGAGGGCAATAAAGATGATTAAAGGACTCAAACATCTATCTTACGAGGAAGTTCAAAGCGAGTTGGGCCTGCCTAGCCTGGAGAACACTGAGAGGGGATCTCATCAAGATGTACAAATAACTGAGGGGAAAATACAAAGAGAATGGGGCCAAACTCTTCTCGGTGGTGGTGACAGGACAAGGGATCATGGGTATAAACTAGAACTCAGGCAGTTCCATCTCCATGTGAGGACGAACTCCTTCCCTGTGACGGTGACAGAGCCTTGGAACAGACTGCCCAGGGGGGTTGTGGAGTCTCCTTCTTTGGAGATCTTCCAAACCYACCTGGATGCAACCAGGTGCCCTGTGTTCCGGGTGTCCCTGCTGGAGCAGGTGGTTGGACTGGATGATGTCTAGAGGTCCCTTCCAACCCCAACCATGGTGTGATCTCAGGCCCGGCGCAGGCAGGGCTAAAGCAGGGCTGCGGGCTCGTGCCCCGCGCCGGCTGCCGCGGCGGTGCTGCCTGGCGCCAGGCAGCTGCCCGCCTGCTGGCAGCAGCGCACACGGGGATTAGGAAGCAGGTCGGGCCAGGGCAGCGTGACAGGGCAGAGAGGGCTCTAATCCCCCCGCCTGGCTCCCGCTGAATGTCTCCTTCGCGCTTTGCCCTCCTCCCGCCATCAGGGCTGCTCTAGCACCTGCAGGCCCTGTGTGAAGATGCTGCGGTGCCAGTCTGGCTGGGGCTGCCGTCCCCTTGGCAGGGGCCTGCAGGGGACATGGCCTCTGCCGGGCAGCTCGTGCCCAATGCAACRCACGGAACCTGGGAAAAGAAACCACAAGCTCCCAGCACCCTGCACCGCTCCAGCCTGGGTTTCTGCTGCCTGTGGAGCTGGGACGGCTGCACCCGCACTGGCACAAGGAGAGAGCTGAGACACTCGTGGCACTGGGCACAGCTCCCGGAACACCAGCCCAGACGGCAGGGCCCACAGGGGACCCGGCTCTGTGTGCAGGGCCCTGTGCCCCAGGGCAGAGCTGGCCCAGGGGAGGCTGAACACCCGCTGGGCACCAAGGCCGCTTTTCCATCGGCAACTGGTCAGACATSGGGGGCACCAGCTCCTCATCCAGCCTCTTCCCTACTGGCCCTCAAGTTCCTGTGGGCTACAGCGGAACCAGGCGCAAYCTCAGGTTTGAGGGGCAGGAACCAGCCTCAAACAACGGCAGTCGATCAGGCCAGGATGGGCATCCTGGGCCCGCACTTGCCTTTAATGACCATCTTGGGGCGCTGTGGCCTCAAATGTCCTTCTTCATCCAGAAGATGGGCAGGCCTTTGGCATCACAGTGAGGGCTCTCCAGGAGGCTCTGCCCGCAGCTCGCGGCTGGGGCAGCCCTGGAGCAGTCCAGCGGAGGCAGCGGAGGCGGCGGGGGCGGCGGGGGCACCTCGGTGGGTGGCAGGGAGGCCCGCGGGGCAGCCAAGGTGCCAGGGGTGCTCACAGCTGGCCTGGGGTGGGCAGAGAAGATCCGCAGCACCTCTGCCGAGATGCCGGCGCTCACAAAAGTCATCATCTGCACCGGCTCGGCCAACGTGTAGCCCAGGTGAGCGTAAAAGTGCTGTTTGTCGTGGGTGGTGAGGTGGAGGCAGCGAAAGCCACGGACCCGGGCGTAGYGCTCCGTAGCCTCCATCAGCCTTCTCCCGTAGCCCTGGCCCCGCAGTGCCTTGGGCACCACGACGCTCTCCACGAAGAGGCTGTGGGGGTGACCGACCACCCGGGAGAGACGAACATGGCCCAGGAGCTGGCAAGGGCTCTTCTCTGAGGTGGGGAGCTGAGTGGGGCCAGAGCTCTGCAGCAGCACCAGGCAGGTGGGGAAGGCATCCGAGGAGCGCTGCAGTGAGTGGAGCCGGGACGCCCGGCTCTTGCCCCACTCCTCGCCGAGCAGCTGGGCACAGGCCTCCATCAACTCTGGCCTCCGGTGCAGGGGGACCAGGCTAAGCTCCTCCGACACAGAGCCCATTCTTCTCACTGATGGRAGACGAAGCAGGCGACAGCTTAGTGGTGTCCGGGCTCACATCAACTCGCCCCTGCCTGGCAAGTCCTGCCCAGCAAGTCCTGCCTGCTCCGCTGCACTCACAACAGSCACTCGGCGACTACATTCCACCAGCTTGCAGCAGTGCTGGACGGGTCTGGAAGAGTTAGCGGCGGGTCCAAGATGAAATGAGAGCRCTACAGCGGCGCTCGCCAAGGAGGAGCCGCCGCCACGTCCGTGCATCGGCCCGCCAGGCAGCTCTCACCTCTGGAGCTGACACAGACGGGCTGTCGAGCAGGGCTCGCATGGCCTGGGAGAGGCCCGGGAGCAACGTGCCTGCTCCCTGTGTGTGACCAAGCCCTGCTCCTCCACAAACGGTGCCACCAACTTGGGGTGCTCAAGCGCCCTACCGAGCCCAGGCAACCCACGGCGAGCGTGTCCACAGCTGACCTGGGGCAAGCGGGGCACAGGGGCAGCGGGGAGCGCCTGGCGTCCACGGGGAGCGAGAGCAGCCTGTGCCAGCTCTGCATCCCCCCGTGGTGACCTGCCCCTGCAGACATGGCGCGGGACAGGGACCGTTTCCCAGCCCTCCTGCCTGCCAGGGCAAGCGGCCGCTGCGGGGAGGCCGTTCCGCTTGCGAAGCGGCCACAGGCAGTTTGCGAGAGGAACTGGTGCTGTAACTCACCAGCCGGCATTGAGCAAAGCGCCCTGCTCTGCTGCCGCGCGCAGGGGCCGAGTTCCAACCCTCGAGCCCCCCACGGCGYCAGGCCCAGCCCCCCGCAATGCTCTGCCCTGGCGCACGCTGCCTCAGGCTCCCCAGCCATCACCGGGCACCCCCAGCATGTTTCCTCAGCCAGCTGCCCACCTCATTCGCTCCAGCTCCTCAGCCAGCCTCGCCTGCCCTCCGTGGCCACCTCAGGCCCGTCCGTGGCCGCGAGGTGCTGCAAGGCGGGAGGCTCTGCCCTAGCCCCCGAGGAAGGGCCCGCAGCCGCTCACCCTGCCTGCCGCCGCCGGCTCCCGGGAGGTCGCCGCGGGTGTCTGCGCTGCCCGGGCGCCGGGGAGTGCTGCAGCTCAGCAGGAAACAGCACGTGGCCCTCGGCCGACCACAGCTCCCGCTTCTGCTTTCGCAGAGCGGGCAACCCGTCTGTCCGGCACAGCAGGTCCCTCCACCYGCCCTGACGCACGCGGACGGAGCCRGCCAGAGCCGCGGGTCTGCGGGTGCCACCGGGGCCTCCGCCCGGCACGGGGCCACATGGGGGTGCTCAGGGGCGCTGCTCATCGCCCTGGCGCTGCCCCGTGCCCCCTGCAGGCTGCACAGGGCGGCATGGGACGAGGGAGGGGCAATGGGTGCTGCAGGCAGGGAAACACTGTGTGAGCTCGGGGTGGGGACCCCACGCTGCACCCGCGGCAGAGAGCACCCCGCGCTGCACCCCACGCTGCACGTGGCGCCCCAGCCCATAGAGCAGCCGCGACGCCAGACAGAGCACCCCGCACTGCACACCTGCACTGCACAACACCCYGCACTGCACACCTGCACCGCACAACACCCGCACWGCACACCTGCACTGCACAACACCCTCACAGCACACCTGCACTGCACAACACCCGCACAGCACACCTGCACCGCAGCCCCCACCGCACACCTGCATACTGCCCTGCACTGCACATCCACACAACACAACCTCACCTATCACACATCTCTGCACTGCACACCTGCACAACACCCCACACCTGCACCGCAGCCCCCACTGCACACCTGCACGGCGTCACCTATCACACATCTCCGCACCGCACACCCRCACAACACCCGCACAACACCCGCACCGCACCCTGCTCCCCAGCACCCCGGCGCAGAGCCCGTCCCGC